AAATTGTTTTAAAAAGGGGGGATATGAAAGAATAATAGAGGGGGTGAATTTGATCAAAGTATATGCATATATGGAAATATAATTAAGCAATTAATATACACCAATTAACAACTTTTTTAAAGAATCAGTCTCATAAAGAAAAAAAAAAAAACTATACTAACACCATACTTAATGGTGAGAGACTCGATGTTTCCCACTAAGATCAGGAACAAGGCAAGAACGCTGCTCTCACCACTCTGATTCAACATATAAGACAAGAAAAGGAAATAAAAGATATTCTGATTGAAAGGAAGAAATAAAACTTCTTTATTTATAGATAACATGATCACCTATGTAGAAAATCTGAAAGAACTGACAAAAGCTAGACTAAGTAATTATAGCAAAGTTATAGGATACAAGGTATCAATCACTTCCCTTTATACCAGTAATGAACACGTGAAACCTGAAATTAAAAACACAATACCACTTACATTAACGCCCAAAAAATGAAATATTTAGGTATAAATTATAAAAATATGCATAAGATCTATACAAATAAAACTAAAATTTTGATGAAAGAAATCAAAAGCCTAAATAAATGGAGATATTTCATGCTCACAGATAGGAAGACTCAATAGTGTCAAGATGACAGTTCTTCCCACCTTGATCAACACATTCAATGCAATCCCAAACAAAATCCTAGTTATTTTGTGGATACTGACCAACTGATTCTAAAGTGTATAGAGAAAGGTAAAAGTCCAAAAGAGCTCCAATTGAAGAACAAAGGTAGAGAACAGACACTACCTAACTTCAAGACTTGTGACAAAACTACATTAATCAAGAAGTAGTTTTGAGGAAAAGAAAAAAAAATGACAAACAAATCAATGGAACAGAATAAAGAGCCAGCCTGTAAATAGACATACATTAATATAGTCAATTAATATTTGACAAGGGTGCAAAGGCAATAATACAATGGGGAAAAATAGTCTTTTCAACAAATGTTGCTGGAATAACCAGACAGCTACATGAAAAAAAGTGAATCTAGGCACAGGCCTTATACCTTTCACAAAAATTAACTCAAAATGGATCAAATACTTAAATGTAAAATTCAAAACTATAAAAACACATAGAAAACCTAAATGTCTACAGGTGTCTAACTATAGATAATATCTAACTTTTTAGATAAATCCCAAAGTCACAATCCATGAAAGAAATAATTAGCTGAACTTCAGTCAAATTTAAAACTTCTGCTCTGTAAATAACAATACCAAGAAAATGAGAACACAAACTACAGATTGGTGAAAATACTGGCAAAAGGCACATGTGATAAAGGACTATTATCCAAAACATACAAAGAACTGTTTTAACAGTAAGAAAAACAGCCCAAATAAAATGATAAAGCGAAGACTTTAACAGACACATCAGCAAGTATTAAGATGGCAAATAAGCATATGATAAATAGAAATGACAGACAAGCAACAGGGGTACTGCTATAGGCCTAGGAGAGTGCCCAAATCTGGAACAGCGGTGAGGAGGAGAGCATCACAAACCTCTCATTCTTTGTTGGGGAATGCAAAACAAAATAGTGCAGCCACTTTGGAAGACAGTTTGATAGTTTCTCACAAAACCAAACATACTCTTACCAAACAATCTAGCAATCATGCTCCTTGATATTTACCCAAAGGAACTGAAAACTTTTGTCCATACACACACAAAATGCAGATGTTTATAGCAGCTGTATTCATAACTGCCAAAACTAGGAAACAATCAAAATGTTCTTCAGTAGGTAAATGAATAAATAATCATATATCCAGACAATGGAATATTATCTAGTGACAAGAAGAAATGAGCTATCAAGCCATGACAAGACATGAAGGAACCTTATATGCATATTACTAAGTGAAAAAAGCCAATCAGAAATGGCTATATTACTGTACGTGACATTCTAGAGAAGGCAAAAATATGGAAATAGTAAAAATATCAGTAGTTTCCAAGCATTATGGGGGAAAAGAGAGAGAAATAGAAGAAGCAGGGAGGACTTAGGTGGCAAGTAAACTACTCTGATACTATAATGATAGAGACAGATCATTACAGACCTGTCAAAACCCACAGAATGTACACCAAGAGTGAACTTTAATGTAAACTATATGCTTTGGGTGATGACAACATATCGGTATAGGAACATCAATAGGAAGAAATTTAGTACACTCTGTGGGGGTGTTGATGATGTGCACATGTGGGAAATGAGAAACCTCTGCACCCTCTGCTCAATTTTGCAGTGAGTTCAAAACTTCTCTGAACAATAAAGTGTATTAAAAACATTAAATTGCTCTCTTGCTTTAAAAAAAGAAGTCAATGGGTAAACATCAAACTTATCTAAATTATAAAAGTTCTTCCTTTTTTGTTGTTGTTTTGCTTTGGCTTGGTTTTGGTTTGGTTTAGTTTTTAAGAGTTTCTATGTATCCCAAGCTGGTCTAGAACACACAATGTAGCCCAGGCTGGCCTCAAACTCAGGATCTTCCTGCCTCAGTCTCCCAATGCTGGGATTATAGGAACGCACCACCACACCTAACAAGGAGGTCTTCTAAAATATAGAAGAATGTAAGATCTGGAATCAGAAGGCCAAGGTAAGTCACAATTTCACCATTTAAGAGCTCAGTGATCTTAGACAAATCATTCAGCTTCCTTAAAGAATTCCTTATTTTAAAAAAACAGAGGCCCATGGTGGCTCACACCTGTAATCCCAGCTACTTGGGAAGTGGAGATGGAAAGGATCAAGGGTTTGAGGCCCACTCAGTGTAAAAAGTTAGCAAAACCTATCAACAAATCAGCAGTCATGGTGGTGTACAACTTTAATCCCAGCTATGTGGGAAGCATAGGTAGGAGGATTGGAGTCCCAGGCAGTCCAGGCAAAAACCGAAACCCTATTTAAAAAAAATAACCTAAAAGCAAAGAGAGCTGGAGGCATGGCTCAAGTAGCACAGCACTTGCCTATCAAGCAAGTTTAAACCCCAGTACCACCAAAAAAAAAACAGGAAAAGAGAAATCAGAAGGTGTGATGATTCACACCTGTAATCTCAGCGTTCAGCAGGCAAAGGCAGGAAAATCACAAGTGGGAGGGAAGCCTGGACTATGTAGGAAGGCCCTGTCTCAAAAAGAAATCAGAAAACTGAAAGTAGACTTACCACAGGTTTAACAAGTTCCCCCAAATCATTCCTGCAAGGACTCTCATCAATTTTGATTTCAAAGACATAATTTCTCACTGAACATCTAGACAAATTGGCTACCTCTTGTTTTTTAGCTCCACCTTCTTGCTCACTATCACCATACAACTATGAGCAAGCAAGAGAACACCAAATGTTATGTGAACATCTTATATACTACAGCTGTGGCACAAAGGCTGGGGGCTCCTTCGAAGAGTTCTGCTCACTGCTTTGCATTCCATTCCAGGTTTCACTTAGAAATTTGGGGCCTAGGACTAGGGTGTATCTCAGTGGTACAGTGCTTGCCTAGCATGGCTGAGGTCCTGTTTCAATCCCCAGAACAGGGAGAAAATATAGCAAGTTCCAGGCCAGACTGGGCTATCAGACCCAATCTCAAAAAAAAAAAGGAAAAAGAGAAGGGAAAGAAGGGAAGATAGATGGGAATTGTATTTCAGCTGGGTATTTCCTACTCTTTAACTAAATTCATAAAGAATTCCATATACCAAAACCATTCAATACTCCCTTCCAGGGTTTCTGAAGGTTAAATATACATGAGAGTATAACATACTCCACACAATGTTATGTATTCATATTATTAGAGAAAGTTCAGTATACCTCCAGCTTACCTGAGGGTAGGTGTGCAAAATGTTCACCATCCCCTTGGGAATTACTCATTTTTGCAGCTTCACTAGTATGTCCTGGGGATTCTTCCGTTTTAGGCTCAAGTAACTTCAGGATTCCACAATACAATTCAAAGAAACAAACAATTCAAACTCATTTTGACTAATTCACTACTTAGAAGATCAAAAGTTGTTATTTTTTTAGTTACTATTTACTAACTAAATAAAGAATAAAAGATTCTATTTTCCCAAAGCATTTTATAGCAGTGTTAATGATAACTAGTATGGTTTGGATTTTGTAGCCACAAGGTGATTTATTTCTATCTCTAAAGTGGAACAGTATATTTAAATCAAAGAAATTATTAACCTTGCAAATAAAGTAAACTAATGTTAACTCATTTCTCCTTAACAACAGAGAAAAATCCAATCACATGTAGCTTATTAGGCAATTCATAGATATGTAAATCAAAAGCCCCTCCATGCTGGGTGATGCATGAGATTTCACTATTATTATTAGCATCTTTACTTTATGTGTTAAAAATTTTTCATAATAGAAAGCCTGAAATGAAAAAAAAAAAAAAAATCACACATTCCTAAAACATAGTATTCAAAAAACGTAATTTGGTTTCCAAATAAATCAAAAGGTTAAAACTAATGTCTTCTCAAACTAATTTTGAACTGGTTTCTGTTCTACACCTTTATGTTTAAAAATCTTCACTAATGTCTAAGAGCTCTACCACTGAGCTAAATCCCCAGCACCAAGAATTTCTTTCTAAATTATATATGCTTCTAAGAAAGCATATACTTTCTATATAAAAAGGACAAAATTAAATATAAATGCCTAGACTTGCCAAGTTCTCTGAGGAACTATGTAGTTCTCAGAAGCTTACATGTTAACAGCAAAAAAAAAAAAAAAAGGTGTAAACTTAGGAAGAAATAATAACAATGAAATATTTCTGTTGTACTTGTATGTTCAGTAGGCACCTGTTTTTTTCTCTTCCTTTCTTCTTCTTGGTCATATTCCTCTTTGGATTTTCTGAAATACACAAAAATAAGGTAGAAAAGTAAATTTTCTTCTTTCATCAAAGAACAAATATTCAACCAAGCAATATGCTAAGGTTACAATATGAGCAAGGCATTATATTACATAAAGATGGAAAATAACCAGTCCTTTCTCTAAAGCATCTTTGCTCTGGCAAAGATGTAGGCAATATCTAGCATAACATAGCCACTAAAAAAAAAAAATAATACAGGTTCATCCATCTCTTAAGAAATGCTAATGAACCCTAGCTAAATAAAGACTAACAGATTTGAAATCCTAAACCCAAATTTGAACGGTAAATTAGCAAAAACTGTGATTCTCTTTAGACAGATTTTACATCTCTCCTGGTTACGAGCCATTTCTCCTCTCATTCTGAGTTGTCCAATGGCATCTGAGTATCATATAGGATAGCATTGTAAACTGCTCACTGAGGCAGTCTGATTTAGGAAAACAGCCAAGGTCAACAGTTGTATATGTTCAAAACTAAGCTAGCAACAGACTACTTATATAGTAGTATACTCCCCTCAAAGTTTTTAGAAAATAAAGTCTTAAAATATTATACTGCAACCACCAATGCAAGTCATAACTTAACCAGTCTGCTGTACCAAATACTCTTACATGTGCAAACCTGTGAACTCAAAGCAATCTGTTTTGTCTCAGCCTCCTATCTGCCTCTGCCAATAGAAAATAGGATCTGGCAGGAAAGGGCCAGTTTCACCCACAAATCCGATTCCCTCCCCACAATCACTCAAAGCCAATGAAATGACAGACTAGGTCTTAGAGCTCCTGCCACTGTGTGCCACTGAGCCCATCCTCCTAACCACAGTTCTCATTTATTCTGCCAGTGACACAAGTGATGACAGGGATCCTTTTCCTCTAAACCTATTATATTCTCAAAGGAGCCTTAAAAATTAGGTACTGCAATGGCCTCTCCCTTCCAAAACTCCCACAGTAATCAGGGCACAAATAAGCTCAAAGAAAAAAGAAATGCTCACAAAACTATCCTAATTCTACGTGGACCTCATTAGCAGGCATTTGGCTGAGAATCATATAACTGGGAAGAAGAGACCAACAAGATAGTCACCTAGAATAGACATCTAGAATAGACACATCCCACTGTCCTCCCTCCCTTATAGATTACTTGTCATTCCATCAGCTATGCACTCTGTAAAGTCTGGATGTCCATCTTCTCACTGTGAGATACCTAGAATGAGCCACCTCTAATACTAAGATCTAGAAGCCATGGAGAATCCTGGTAAGCTCAGGTCACTCCAGCCCTCTCCAGGGATCAGACTGGGTTTATTGCAACTTTTTTTCTATTGGTGGCTAGTTCTCCAATCCTATGACAAGGATGGGGGGGAAAAACCCACTAGCTTGGGCTGATCTGGCATGAGTTATCTGAAAATAACTTTTTCTATTAAGAAATGTAGTATGAGTTGAGCATCCCTTATCTAAAAATCCAAAATGCTCCAAAATTCAAAATATTTTATGTGCCAACATGACAATCAGAAAGTTTCAGACTCTCAAATATTTTGGATTTCAGATTAAGGATGTTCAACCAGTAATATCTATGCAATGTTCTAAAATCTTAAAAAATCCAAAATTTGAAACACTTCTGCTCCTACGCATTTTAGGTAAGGGATATTCAACCTGGGTACACAGCATTATAAAATGATAAATCATTTTGATGGTCTTCAGCAGAGAATTTAGATATTTTACTACTTTATAATGTCTTCTGGGTAAAAAGCATGTATGTATAGATCATACTATAGTACTGCTAATTATTCATTCAAAAGTAAGTAGAGTACCTAAGAACTTCCCTCAGGATTTTCATCTCTTCTTGTTCAAGGTCATTGACCACATCAGATCCATCGGTTAAGCAGTCAGGTAATACACCTGTTCAAAACCAAACATGATATGGAAGAATACCAATTCAAGTGAAAACACTTATAATCTCACTGTGTAGCTCATCAAGTACAAATTCGTTTACAATTTATCACTACAAAAAATTCCAGGTGAGCACCAGTGGCTAGAGTCTGTTATCCCACACTACATGAGATCTGACAGATTAGAATTCCAGGCCACCACAAGCAATGAAGTTCATGAGATTTAACTTTCTCTCAGTTTAGGGAACAACCCCCACAAAATCAACCCCACAATTTTACATAGAACTATCTCTCAGTAATTTTTATGTTGCCTATTAAAAATAACATTATCGGCCTAGTTCGGTGGTTCGTGCCTGTCATCCTAGCTACTTGGGAGGAACCCCATTCTCAACTAATAGCTAAGTGGCAGTGGTGGGTGCATGCCATTCCAGCTATGCAGAGAGACATAAACAGAAGGACTGTGGTACAGGCCAGCCTCAGCATAAAGTGAGACCCTACCTCAAAGATAACTACAGCAAAAAGGGCTGGTGGTATGGTTCAAGTAGAGAGCACCTGTCTAGTAAGCACAGGGCCCTGAATTCCAACTCCCAGTACCAGTACCACAAAAAAAAAGAAGAAAAAAAGACAGAAAATTAATGATTGAGGCTGGTGACTCAGTGGTAGAGTGACTGGCTAGAATGCACTAAGCCCTGAACTCAATCCCCAGCACCACAAAAAACAAAAGAGGTATGTCAGAGTTAGTATGTACATTGTCTTCTATAATCATACAGTATCTGAGAAGATAGCACTGAAATCATTCAGCTACAGCTAATAATGAAATCAAGCTCTCAAAGTTGAAAATGGGAAGAGTTTACAAACAAAATTATATTCTGTTAAAACAGCATCTAATATTCTTTATTCATACCACAACAAATGTTACGGGAAAAGAGCCCTGCTTAGTATGTGCAATGAAAACATGGTACTAAGCATTTTAGGGAAATACAAATATACATAGTAGAACCTCTATCCTTGGTGCATCTGCTCAGATATTATCTTATAGTCTAATAACTATAAGCCACAACAGTACCAACTTTAGCCCAAAGCAAATAAAAATTCTTAGGAAATAATTTTAAATGTTGGTTTAATTTGCTTTATTACTTATATCTTCCTGAAAAGCAGGAAAACTAGTAATAAGCATTCTGGTTTTATCTATAATAATTACATTCTACAATATTAACAGAATGTCTCTTCATTTTTACCTTCTATTTCTTTTTTTCTTTTTTTGTATTCATATGTGCATACAATGCTTGGGTCCTTTCTCCCCCCTTCCCCCCGCCCCCACCTTCTATTTCTTTATCCACATGAGTGCAGGGTTTTGGATCTGCCCTAAAGGAACTTTATTTTCTAATACTCCTGATGTTTAGATACATTTTTAAACATTTTATTCTGAGATAATTGCAGATTTACATGCAGTTATAAAAAAATAATAATAATACAGAAAGATGTCATGTACTGTTTACCCAGTTTCTCCTGGCAGTAACATCTTACAAAACCATACTACAACACCAGAACTGGAAAACTGATATCTATACAGCTCATCAATATGAAGTGCAATTTTGCTCAGCAAAAGATATAATATTATTATTCTAATAGCCTTTCTAAGGAAAAATAAAGTAGTAAGGGAGAAATAATATAACAGTATAAAGTACTTAAAAAACCATTAAAATATTGCTCTGACTTGTGTTTTCCCCAAATTCTTAATAAGATACAACCAAGAATCCAGAGAGTTTTCAAATTTTTCTTACCACAGAGACAACTTTAAAACAGCCTGTTTTGAGTACAATGGACACTTATCTAAGGTACTTGTCCCCTGCTGCTTAAATTAAACATTTTAAAATTCTGTAGCACAAACTAAGTTTATGTTTCAATGCAGGCGAACTGTCCCACACTGTAATCTGTCAGCAGCCATTAGTCTACACCATTCCTCTCACTAATATAAGCCAGGTTTTGTGCAGTCATCAGGCAGCCAATTATTTAGATGCCAGGCCATGCCCAACCCCAGGAAAGTGACTCTTCCCAGATAGCTGAAATTATAGGCATATGCACCTCCACACCTGGGTTCCGGGTCCTTTATAACACCACTAAGCCACTGAACTTAGCAACCCTAGACTTGTCTTCCTTTTCTCTCCTCCTCTAGACTTCTTACATGAGATAATACCTTCTAATTGCTAGGGCCATTTTCACTGGGGTGTTCTGTTAACCAGCAGTCTGAAGCATCCAGCTAATACTGAAGATTCACTCTTTCTTTTATCAAAACTGATCTTCTCAAAACAAATCTTAATAACGAGATAATCACCCCACAGGTTAGAAGAAAGCATAGTTTCAGGAATATGAAGACAAAGGATTTTACAGAACAAGCCATGTCAGAAAGACAAAAATGAAAAAGATTACTTTCTGAACTTATTTATACCTAAGTAACTGCACTGTGTCATGAATTTTTCAGGGTTAGGGTGGTGTTAATCTCCTACCCACAGACAACTTTATTACCCATTGTGGAAAGCATCTCAGGGTTTTAGAGAATGGTGGTTATGATGGCGGCTGTCTCTAAGCAACAAGTCCCTGCTTGCATCAGACAAAAGAAAGGAGAATCCTCAACAAGGGTTCTACAACATTCTGATGTTTGCCTTGCAACAACAGAAACCCTCCCATGTCATGTTCGCAAACCTTTAAGAACAAGTAATACAAATGAACTAGAGCTCTCATATCTTCAGGAAACAATCAAAGCAAAGATTCTGCTGCCAAACTAAGAGGTTTATGGACCCTGGTAAAGAATATCAGTGGCAATCTATTAAGCAAAGGAACACATAAGACTTACAATGAGGTTACCAGAGCCAGAAATATGAAACAGAGATGAAAATCTGGTCTGAAAAGGAGACAGTACCATAACAAGAAATATGTTTAGAAACTTGAACATTTCAAGTGAGGATGTCTAATGTTGTTCAGACACACAAGAAGGGAACAAAAGCAGGAAGAGCTAGAGAGAGTAAGTTTGAGCACCGGAACAGGTAAAAGATAAAGCCAAAGAGGGTTAGTTACTAGAGCCTTCTTTTCTGTTTTCTCTTCCACCAAATGCTGGTGCAATAATTATATTGTTCTCAACCAATGGTTCTCAGTGCAATTCCAGACCAGCAGCTTCAGCACCACCTGGGAATTTGTTAAAATTATTAGATTACACCCACTACTAAATCAGAAACTGGGAACCAGCCATATGTGTTGTAAGCCTTCCAACCACCTCTAATGCTTGCTACAACTTAAGAAGCACTGTCTCTTTCTGAGGTCTTAACAATGAAGCTAGGAGAAAAGTAGTCACCTTCACTCAACAGTAACATAGCCACCTAAAACCACAAAATATTTCAGCTGGGATCTGATGGCTCACACCCATAATCCTAGCTACTTGGGAAACTGAGATTGGGAGAATTGTGGTTTGAGACCAACCTGGGTAAAAAGTTCATGAGACCCTCATCTACCCAATGACTGGGAGCAGTGACACTCGCCTGTCATCCCAGCTACAGTGGGAAGCATGAAATAGAATTGTGGTCCAGGCCAATCTGGGCAAAAAATAAAGACCTGATCTCAAAAATAACCAGAGAAAAGAAGGGGTAAAGGCCCTTTCAGCAGTAGAGTGCCTATTAGCAAGCATGAAGTTCTGAGTTCATACTCTAGTCCCCCCAACACCCCCCAAAAAAACTAAATTTCATAAACATGATGGCTGAGCAGAAAATCAAGTTCTCTGAAATCTAAAAAAACATTATTAAATCAAATTCAGGGTCTGCTTTCTTTGAAATGTCAAATTCACACTGATTAGAAAATTCATGCTCTTAAGTCTCTTACATTAGTCAAATGCTTTCAAACTTGAAATAAATGTGTAGAAGGCAGCTACATTTCAGACCTTATTAGAATCACAACAGTCAAAACTACAAAAAAATGCATTGAGCACTTAGACTCTAACTTCAACATTTTACCATTTCTCTCTTGAATTATTCGAATGGCTTGCAGCTGCATTTCAATGTTTTTCTGGACCATCATTGCTTTAAAGATAGTAAAATCTTCTGCTGCCAACACGGGCTGCAAAATGGCCTGTAGAAAGAAATGTAGAGGTTAATATTCACAATTCTTTTCCACTGAAAAACAGCATTAATGAATGCTACATCATTATTTATAGTTAAGTGATTTAAATGGACAATTTTAAGACACATGGGATCTTGCTGTGTAGCCCAGGCTGCCCTCGAACTCATGGCCCTCCTGCCTCAGCCTCCCAAGGCTATGATTGCAAGTGTGCACCACCACACGTGGTTAAAGAGGCTTTATTTTGAAACCCTTTAAATAGGAGTCTCAAGAGGTTAACTCTCCAAATCCCCAGGCCTTCAGGAAGCCAAGGCTGACAGTGGTAACATTTCCCAAATGAGCCAGTGCTAAATGATCTTGAAAAACAACATAGAAACCTGTGTTTTCTAAAGTTACAACTTCAGTACCTGAATTGTTTTTTAGCCAAAATAATATCTATTTGGTTATATCCTGTCACTTGAAATTTACTATTTGTTTAATGACCATTCAGTTAACTACAAAATTATTCCTAAATTAACAAAAGTACCAAATTAATAAATGCCAAAAATGGATCAAGAAAGTAGGTATAATGAACTATTAGCAATGACTGTAACATTAGAGTTGCCGTATATATAAAAAGTTACATGGAAGACATAGAATTAGAAATTACGATGCAAAATCATAACTGATAAGTATAATAAGTTAAGAAAAATAAAGGTGTCTACCATTAGAGTACACACAATACTTCCTTTACTACTAAGAATGTTACATAGTAAAGGGAAAACCAATTTCCAAGCTAGTTAAAATATACCATCTGTAATTCATGAAAACCCAAAGGAAAAACACTCAGATTATATCCACTTTACTAGAATCTTATTTCCAGTTTTACCTGACACAAATGGAAAAGATGACCACACAAAATCACCCTGAGGCAACAAAGCAGATACTATTTACTAGCAGGTAGCAACAACACTGTTACAGAGGATACCTCGACAAAACCTTCAAAAAATGTTACTTGAAAAGAAAGAACCCTTCTCCCAGCAACCACCTCACATCTAGAGTCTAGTATAACAAAATTAAGGAAAAGTGCAAAAGCAGTTCTCGTGATATCTACCAGGACTAAGCTGTAGAGAAAAAAGACAAAATTTGTCTTTTCCCTTAAATTCACAAATACTGTCCAGAAGGTCCCAGGGCAGGAGATGAGAAATAGGCTTCAGCTCTGTTTGACAGAAAAGTACAGACAGGAGCTCAGTGCAGGAAAACAAGTGTGGACAGCCTCTGGACCGATTAGTGATGCCTGCCAGAAACCCCTTTATGGGATTATGGGACTACATAGCTACCTGTTCTGGGGCTTCCTAGTTTTACTAGAAACACCAGGAATCTTATCCTCATCACAAACATTTGAAGACATTGTTATTGATGGCAATGTGTCAACCAGCTTCTATCAGCAAGTCAGAGATCAAATTGATATTTAGTTATAATTTAAGGCTTATGCTTATGACCCTTGATCCTTCTTAATAAATGCAGAAAAGAGAAATTGTTAAATGTATATTCCTGAGCTCTGCCTCAGACATAATTAATCTAAATCTCTAGAGGATGAGTGTCCAGGCACCTAACCAGATATTTCTTGTGACAGTTAAGTGTGAGAAACATTGGTAAGAAAATGAAATACTCTAAGTACTCTGTGCCCACAAATTTGATAATCCTCATGAAATGGACCAAAGAAATAGATAATATACATAGGCCTGTAACTATTTAAAAAAAAATGTTGACTCAATAATTAATGACTCTCCAAAATAGTAAACACCAAGCCAAAGGGAGTTCACTGGTGAATTCTATCAAACATTTAACAAAGAACTCCTACCAATTCTCCATAATCTCTTCCAGAAAACAAAAGCAGAGCATGAACCAGCATTACCCTAATACCAAAATCAAAGACATTACAAGAAAGTAAAAATATAGGTCAATTTCTTTCATGAAGAGAGATGGAAAAATACACAAAAAGTATTAGCAAATTGACCCAAACAATGTATAAAAAGAACTGTATACAACTAAACCAAGTGGAATTTATTTTAGGCACACAAGGTTGGTTCGACATTTGAAAACCACTCAAAATAGCAGACATCAGAATACAGAAAAAATGATCATATCAACAGATACAGAAACAGCATTTGATGAAATCCAACATCCATTCATGATTTGAAAAGAAAGAAAAAAGAGAGATGAAAGGAGGGAGGGAAGCAGAGAGGAAAAGAAGAGAAAAAAAGGAAGAAAAAAGAAAACTCAGCAAATTAGGAATAGAAAGAACATCCTCAACCTGGTAGAAAATATATAGTTAAAAACCCTTCAAGACCTGGCAAGGTAGTTCACATCTGTAATCCCACCAACTCAGAAGGCAGAGATCAGAACAACTGCAGTTTGACTGCTTTCCTATTTACTAAGTACCAACAATGAATAACTGGAATTTGAAAATAAAAACACAAAACCATTTTCATTAGCACCATAAAAAGGAAATATTTAGGAAGGAATCTATCAAAGTATACATAAGATCTATATGAGGAAAACTCTAATGAAAGAAATTAAAGATGACCTAAATAAATGGAAAGATATTCTATGTTCATAGATAGAAAGAAGACACTATTAACATGTCTTCTCAACTTGATTTACAGATTCACACAGTCCCAATAAAAATCCCAGCAAGTTATTTTGTGAATACTGAGAAAGGGATTTTAAAATTTACATGGAAAGATAAAAAACCCAGAATAGTCACACAACACTGAAGAACAAAGTCAGGGGACTAACACTATCCAACTTCAAAACTTACTATAATGTTACAATAATCACCATAGTGTGGTATTGGTTACATAGTACATAAACAGATGGATGCAAAAAAATACAATCCCAAAATAGACCCAGATAAACATGGTCAACTGATCTCTGACAAAGGAACAAAGGCAATTCAGTGGAAAAGGACAGTCTTTTAGCAAATTGTGCTAAAACAACTGGACATGGCATGCTACAAAATGAGCCTGAGCATTGACAACCAGAAGTTATCTCAAAATGGATAACAACCTTCAATGTAAAACACAAAACTATAAACTTCCACAAGGTAACACTGGAGAAAATCTAGATAACCATGAGCTTGAAGATGGCTTCTTAGATACAATATCAAAAGCAGTATCTGTGAAAGAAAAAAACTGATAAATCAAACTTCATTAAAAATAAAAAACTTCCACTCTGAAAGATGTTAAAAGAATAAAAGGTAAGCCACAGAAAATTTTGCAAAATACTTGCAATACACTTATCCAATAAAGGACTTGTATCTAAAACATGCAAAGAATTCTTAAAACTCATCAATTAGAAAAGAACTTAATTGAAAAATGGCCAAAAGAAAATGAGATACCACTATATACCTACCTGTTAGGACAGTTAAAATCCAAAAAATTGACAACACAAAGCATTAACAGATGTAAAAAAAAAAAATTTTAAGTAAATAAAAAAAGGAACTCCCAGTCATTGCTGGCAGAAAAATAAAATGATGCAGACACTTTAGAAGATAGTTCGGCAGTTTCTTACAAAGCTAAACTTCATCTGACATTTTATCTAGCAATCTACTCCTGTTTACCCAAATGAGTTGAAAACATTACGTACACACAAAAGACTGCACATAAATATTTTTAGCAGCTTTATTTAATTGCCCAAAACTAGAAACAACCAAGATGTGCTTAAAAATATAAAATAGAGTAAACAAACTGGCAAATTCATACAATGAAATACAATTCAGTAATAAGGCATGAGCTAGAAAGCCACAAACATGGAGGAACTTTAAATGCATACTGATTAGTAAAAGAGGCCAACCTGAAAAGGCTACAGACTATGTTTCCAATTACATGAGATTTTGGAAAAAGCAAAACTATGGATACTGTAAAAAGACCAGTGATTGCCAGGGGATTGGGACAAGGCCAGGAAGGATGAGTATGTAGAGCACAAACGAGAAAATTTTAGGGCAATGAAACTATTTTGTATGATACTGTAACAGGAGATACATAACATCATGTATTTGGTAAAACGCATCAGAACTATACAACAAAAAGAATGAAATAATGTACCAATATTGGTTTAATAATTATAACAAATATACTACACTAATGCAAAATTTTAAGAAGGAAAACATATGTTCAATTTTCTGTAAACCTAAAATTGCTGCAAAAAAAATAGTCTATTAACTTTTTAAAACCTTAACTAGGACTCACACAAAATATTGCTAATTGTCCTGTATGTAATTTTAGAAATTAAATGGCAATACCACATAATCTTCTCAACAATGCCAGTTACTGGAAAAAAAAAACACAATTATCTTAAATTATTATTTTTATGTTATTTTATTTTGGGGGAGTGTACTAGGGTTTGAACTCAGGGCTTCAAGCTTGCTACTAAGCAAGCACTCTACCACTAATACCACACCTCCATCCCTTTAATGCTGTTTTGTTTTAGAGATAGGGTCTCACTTTTGCCCAGGCCAAGCTGAACCATTATTCTCCTAATTTAAATTTCCTGCCATTGCTGGTATGAATTTCCTGCCATTGCAGGCACCCAGCTTTTTTCTGTTGAGATGAAATCTCACACACTTTCTCACCTGGGCAGACCAGAACTGCAGTCCTCCTAATGTCAGCCTCACAAGTAGCTAGGATTACAGGTATGAGGATTACCAGCACTAGCTCCTCAAATTAGTATTATTATTAAACAAATGTTTCAGCAGGTATTAATTTCCATCTTATAAAAGTCAAAGCAAATAAAGTTAAAAAAATTAATTTCTTGCCATATAGAAATCTCTGGTTTTTGCCATACATTGAAATTAATGAAAGGATTTATCCTCACCAAAAGAAAAAAAAATTACAAGCACATGCAAGTTACTTTTATCTATTTCACTAGGAAATGACCATATACTAAAGTTCAACTGAAGGCAACTAAAATAATAAATAATACATACCTCACTACTTGTCATATTTTGTGAACTGATAGAAGGATATTCTAATTCATGAGCATTTTTTTAGAAACCACTAACAGAAAAACATGCTGTTAGGTGTTTTTGTTGTTGTTGCTGCTACTGTTTTTATTAGAATGCTTTATCTTACATACTCCTTGCCTCTCTTGCTGGCTTTAATGCACAAAGAATATGTCAGGACTAGTGAGCTAGGTCAAGTGATGACTAAGTATGGCGAAAAGAATTTTGTGAGTCTTCTTTAATAGTACAATTTGGTAAGAGTGGCAACTAGTTTAGAAAACCAAAACCAACTCAACCAAACCAAACCAAAATAAAAATTACCAATGGCAAGCAATTTGTTTCTTGAATTAATATCCAGCTTATATTAGCCTACTAGAATCAACATTCCGATTTTCATGAATGAAAATTAAATTGCTGCAAAGCAGTAAATAACATCCTTCAAACTGTTTTTTCAGTAATGGTGATAACCCTATGCTGAATCACTGCTGCTACTCAGCCTCTGGTGACTGACTAAGAGTTACTTTAGTAGAGAATAATGCTAACTAGTCCACATGAGGATTGAACCATGACCCTGGCCTGTCAGCACACTGCTAATCAAGTGCCAAAATAGCTACCATTAAGAAGTGCTTCCATTTATTTATAGGTCACAGGCATAGTGCCAAAAAAGCTTTATGTGTTTTATCTCTTAAACTTCACAAAACCTTTCAAAGTAGACATCATCCCTATTTTATAGGTATGGAAACTGAGATTCAAAAAAGGTTAAGAAAGTAAAATTGCAAAACAGCTTTGTACAACATCAGACAGTTAGTAAACAAAAGATCCAGGACTCAAAAGCAGGCCTGTCTGTCTCAAAAACACTTATTTCCTTATATATGAGACTGTACTACTAATCAACTCTAAAAAATTAAAAGTTGTACAGTAGAATGCAAGAGAAAAATGTGTTGATCTTGATCTGAAAACAGTATTTAAAAACTCTGTTTACATTCACAAACAATTTAAAGTTAGGCTGATAAGGCAAACAAAAGACAGCTGTCTGTTACTACAGTCCCCCAGCTTATGATTTTTCCACATTACAATGATGCAAAAATAATACACAGTAAATAGAAACCACACTTTTTGTTTCAGAGGCTAGCAATATGCAACATGATACTCTTTCTTTCTTGATGCTAGACAGCATCAAGCCACCCATCCTGGTCAATTACGTGATCACAAAGGGAAAAACCTCTATGGTGTACTATGTTGTTCAGTATGTTAGGTGCATTAAATTATTATGTTTGATAGATTAGGTGTATTAAATGTATTTTTGACTTACAATGTTTTTTTCACAAAATAACTGCATCATAAGTCAAGGGCCATCTATAATTTTCAATCAAATTTTTCCTACCTGGTTAAAAAGAAGAAAAAAATGCCTATCATTATTTCTTAAACTACAGTACATATAGGAAAAAAGTATTTGTAAACTGAAAAACTTTTGCTTTATAAAACTATTAGCTAATAAAATTGTGTTTATTTATATATTAGCGTGAGCACACCAATATTTGTTTTAAATATACGGATTTTCTACTTTTAGAAGTAGAAGCCATCATTAAATGAGAAGAAACTGCAAAAGTGAACTGTATCAAGGAATGGGGGTATGGATCAGTGGTAGAGCATTTGCCCAGCATGTGTGAGACCATGGGTTCAATTCCCAACACTGATAAAAAAGAGAGAGAGCTAGCACTGTGCCAGGAAGTGGTAGATTAAATAGTCAAAGCAACCTCTTCAAGGTCACAATAATAAGAAAATTTAACAAATATTTACTGAGAACTACTTGTTAGGAATTAAGTTCTCATCTCTAACTTAGCAACTAGGCATGCAAAGATACCAAAAACATCTCAAAGAACTTAAAATCTAGTAAAGCAAATAGACTTGTTAGAAACTGTAACTCAAGGCAAAGTCCCTAGTGAAGCAGAATAAACTCTGGTCTGAATATAGGAAGCATTAAAACTGCAGTAAGAAGTAGTATTTCAGCCAGGCCCTGATGATGAGGATTCCTTTGGGTTAAGGAAAGGATGGTGGAGTGGAGAGGATCTATACATTTTAGGTTAAGAGACATGTGCACAGCCAGGTGCATAAATGCTTATGAGTGGCCTGGAATAACAACAGTACATAATATACTGGAAAATTACAATAGGACAATCAAGGCTGAAAATACACTTTGAGATAACGTCACAGACAATCCTCACTGTCATCCTGGTAAGGAATTAAGAAATACAGTTTATCTGGTAACGGATGGGAAACCAAAGCAAGTTTTTGAGAAAGCTACTTGGGTAGTAGCAACATATTCCTATTTTCAACATGTGAACAAGGGCTCTCAGTTGGATTGCCTAGGCTGGCATATTGGCTGTATTATTCATATAGCTGTGAACTTCAAACTAAGTGCTTAATAGCTCTGCTTTAGTTTCCTCATTTATAGGTAGAAGTTAAATAGTACCAATTCCTTTCTTTTTTGGGGGGGAGGGCAGAACTGGGGTCAGTACTGCCCTGAACTTGAGAGGGAGGCCCTCTACCACGTAAGCCACACCATTAAGCTCCACCCAGGTACCAATTTCTTAAGATGATTAAATGAGAAAATACATGTCAAATGTCTAAAACATCAATTAGCACAAGCCCTCAATATATTTAGTTACAAATACACATATTATCCACTTCAGCCCAGCCCTGTAAAGCTAATGAGACGATAAAAATAGTTCCAAGAGAAAGAATTACCAAGAACTATGAACTATGGATCTGCTAAGGTTAGGAAAGCAGAAACAGCAGACTTATCAGTGATCTACGTAAATAAACTGTAATCTAGATAAACCCTGTTATCCTGTTACAGCTCTGAGTTCAGAAATTTTTTTCTTCCATTAGCTCATTGATGCCTCAAATGATCATTTCCCAAGGTTGCTCTAAAAAAGAACCCACATGTGATGACTTATGTTTCCACCTCTCACAATGTCTAAAATAATATACTTTAACAATCGAAAATACTAAATTGAAGTGAAACCTTGGGAATTTTGTTATATAACTGTACGTTAACAGAATAACATGAAAGCAAAAACCTGTGATGTACGTGTCTTTGCAAGAGGAGAAGTGCATGCTTCTTGAAACTGATCTTCATTAATTCCAATTTCCTTGAGGTAACTTTCCAACAGTTTTTCAACCTAAAAATAGAAAATTTAACTTTTATAATTTACATAGAAAAATTCTAAATAACAGTTTGCCTGTTAAGTATTAAGTTTAGAAAAGTATAATCAAATGCTTTTTTGCAAATATTAATGTAGATAATATTATGTACTACACAGCAGTAATACTGTCACCAAAAAACAAACAAAAAAGGTTAACTTTTTTTTCCTGATGAAAATCACATGAAATTTTTTTCCTCTGTAAGAAGAAAGTCATGATTATGAAAAGTCAGGATTATGAGGTTCAATGTGAACAACTCTTCTGCTACCGAGAGACATTTCTAAAAATCACAAGATAATCATGACTAATGAAAAACTGATACTTCCCTGGAGGTATCAGCCAAATAAGGACTGAGGCATGGCTCAAGTGGTAGGACACATGCCTGACAAGTACAAAGCCTTGAATTCAAACCCAGTGCAGTGAAAAATAAAAATAAAATTTAAAAGATTAGACACAAGATTCCCATCATTGTGGTAAAATCATTCATTAGGTTCTAGCACAGAAGTGATACAAAGTCATAAAAACATGTTCATAGAATCTATACAGTCTGATATAACTGATAGTATTGTTAAGGTTGACTGCATTTTTGTGAAATTAAAGAACTTTAATGAAAATTCATTTTTTAAATTTAATAAGATATAAGCATTATTATCTTAATTATCTCTAAAATTCAGTTAAAAACAATACTCACTAGTTCTTTATATTCCTGATGAATCTCTGTATAGGTCAATTTGCTTTCTTCTTCATCATCAAAAACTAAATTTATAAGAAAAATATTACATAGTGTTAAAAATAAATCATTTCACCAAATAAAAATATAAAAATCCACTCCTTACAAATGGAACTATCATTCTGATAACTTAGCTCTTCAGATTTGAATCCTGGGCTTTTTCTTTAAGATAGGGCTTTTTCTTTAAGATAGATAGATAGATAGATAGATAGATAACAGATAGATACAATTACATAAATATATATAATATAAATTGTAAACAAGTTTTTTTCTTCTATTTAAGAAAATATTTAACACAAAAACTACCTCATATTTAAGATTAAAACCAATTTGCCATTTTTCTTCTTTATTTTTTGTTTTGTTTTGTTATTTATTTGGGTTTGTTTGTTTTGAGATGGGATCTTACTATGATTGTCCAGGCTGGTCTAAAACTCCTGAGTTCAAGCAATTCTTTGGCCCCAGCCTCTAAAATATCTGGGACTACAGACATGGTGTGTCCAGCCATTTTGCCAGTTTTTGATCAATAATGTAAAGTAACAATTTCTTTATAATCTTTTAATAGAACATTATTAAACATTAAATCCTTTTACAACAGTTTCTAGATTATTTTAATGTACTAGAACTGTGCTGATGCAAATTTTACTGACAGTGACTAGGCCATTGTTACTACACATGAAGTCAGAATAAATAAAACACAAATAAGTGTTTACTGATTGATTACATGTGTGAAACAATGGAGATTAAAAATATATTCCTTCAAAAAGAAACAACTTAATTAGGAAAACAGGACATGCTAATGAATTAACTGTAAAAAATAAACATTTTTTTCATTCCCCCAGAATGATCTTCCTGAAATGCAAAACTAATTTTTATAACCTTCATTTAAAACTCTTCAACAATTGCTCATTGCCTAGAGAGTAAGTGCAGTGAAAATCTTTAGAAGGACAGACAAAATTCTCCAAGACTAGGTCCCAATTTCATCTCCCACCACTCCAACATCCAAATCCTACCCTTCTAACAATAAACTGCTTTGAACACCACCACACACATACCACTTCAAATCCCCATCATTTTGCTCAGGCCTTTTCTTCTTTTTGCCCTTGCTCCATCCCATCCCCTTTCTCCCA